ACACATATGCAAAAGATGCCCTTAATTTATATTCAATTATGCATAACTAATGCACACAACATCCCTGTTATACACTCCAGTAGGTTATCCAATTAGGCAATATTCACCAGCTTTTAACTATACCTTCAAAGTGAATGAAATTCATCTTTCATAAAACCTGAACAGAAGTCATTTGGGCTAGGACTCACTGCATCATCTAATAAGGTCCAGTCCCTGGTCATCTTTCTCTGAAACATCTCTGACCCATCCACTCTCTACTCTCCAACATATATACATTCACCTTTTCTTTTTAAAAACTATTTTAATTTTGTATTTTGAATTTAATTTAAAAAGTATCTGGTTTCTAGATGGCATTTTCATGCATATTTATTTTGGTTGATTCTCCTGACCCATTTCCTTTCTTAAGTTCCTATTCGCCTACCCTCCCCCCCCAACACACTGTACCCTTTTGGCCTCAGGGATCCTCCCTTCCCCTCTGATCTATTGTTTTCCCTAATCTCTTCCTTTAGAACGTCTCCCCACCCTATCCCACCCCACCCCTCATTTCTACTTTCCTGGCCTACTCCTGCCCAGGCAAACCTGTTTAGCAATTAGAAGCCATGATCTCCATATGAGGAAGAATAAACAGCACTCTGAGTGTGGGTTACTTTACTTAATATAAGTTTCCCAGTTCCATCTATTTTCCTGAAATTTTCACCTTTTTCTTTTAAGTTAGTTGATTCTTAGACAAAGGAATCACCTGGATAAATCCATTTTGCACTTACTATTGAACGCCATAATCACTAAAATTTCTCAGGTCAAACTGATAATACTCAAGGGTCCACAGGGCCTGCTTGGAGAAATGCTGACTTAGGGCATATATAAAAATGTTTTTTAAACCCTGAGTACACTTGGCTTTCTTTGACAAACCTGGCCAAAGTTATAGCTGTCTTTATTGTTCCTGGCTGTATTTTCTCCCAGTTCCTCTTTCTCTCTGCTTCTGCTTTCCTCACCTAGACTTCACACTGCCACAGACCCCCTTCTTGTCCCAAGCAAAATACAATGATGCAGGGATTCTTTTGACTCTATACTGCTGACACTTGAGGATGGGTAATACTTTGCTGTAGGAGACTTCCCTGCATTGTATTCATATATATTTAATGATGCCATTGGCTTCTGCTCAATAGAGTCCAAGAAGTATCTATAGGCAGATATAGATGCCTTAAAATGTCAACAGTTGAAACAGCAGTTCTTAGAGTACCATATACACACAGGGTAGATATGCATGTATTCAGGCACTCATACATAGACATGAAAGGAAAACAAATAAACTTCAAAAGTTTCCTTCCTGAGCTCTGCCTTTTTCCTAGATTAAAATAAACTAATTCTAACTTGTGAACTGGTTTCAGTTAACACCAAAACAATCTACTCCCTCTTTATTTCATGACTTGGGGTTCAAATGGACATTATTTCTAAAAAAGAGAGAGAGAGAGAGAGAGAGAGAGAGAGAGAGAGAGAGAGAGAGAGAGAGAGAGAGAGAGAGAGAGTTTTCTAATGGCAGATGGCCTCAGGAAACATTGTTTATCAAATAAAGTCTAATTTATTTATAAATTCCAGTTTATTTGCCAATCTGAAGGAGATAGGAACCTGCACATAGTCTATTTGGCAGTTAGAAATTATACCAGATGTCATTAGCGTGAAGGGGCTTTTTATATTTTGGCATCAGAGATGTGTGTGCTGGAACTTTCAGCAGACTATAAACAGCCAGCACATTCTTGTATGACCTACGCTGCCTTGTTAGGCTAATGCAAGGTGTCATTTCTTACCCCCATGCTTTGCTGGCGGTTCACTGCAACTTTAGAAAAAGAAGACATGGAAGCAAGGAAACAGGGAAATGTGTAAGTGGTGGGAGATGCCATGTGGCTCAGCAACAGGACATCTTGGGCACATGTGGGTCTTTGAGGGTGTGTTTTGCTTTGTTTGTTTTCCTGACTTAAAAAAAAAAAGTCAAGCAATCAGTGGGCTGACAAGAATCTGCCAAGTTGTTCTAACTCACTGCTGTTTATTCATTCTCCCTCTCCTATGTAACAAAGTCCATTAGAGAGCATTCAAGACATTTCACAGTCCTGTTTCCTAAAGCTTATTCTCCTACATCACCAACGCCCACTTGAGACAATCCAGAGATCCTGATGTTACAGTTTCTGGGTGTGGAAACAAAATTTAGTATTAAGTTTCCCATTGGATGGCTTTGTCATGTTCTACATAAAAAAAAAAAGAGTTGCACCAACATTGGTGTGTTTTATCTGCATTTGGAAAGACGAAGAGGTCAGCACACAGCTCGAGGGCACCTGGCACTGTTCTCTATTCCTCACTCTCCCAAGTAATCGGTGCTTGGCTGTTAGAAGTTAGTCTGTGCTTGGCTGTTAGAAGTCAGTCTGTGCTTGACTGTTAGAAGTTAGTCTGTGGTGCTGAGGACACAAAGAATGGCAGTGAGGCCTCTTCAGGATCCCTACTCATCCCAGACCACCTCCTCCAACCCTGCAGCTCTAAGCACCGCTCATTTGTTCAGGACTTCCCCACTTTCTTGATCTCCAAGCTTGGGATTTTGAGTGGGCTTTTACTATTCACATTTCCAACTTACTACTGCTCACCAAACCTCTTGGATTCTTACTGATTCATCAATATCAATGTGGTCAAAATCAGAAGTCTTTATTCAGCATCCTCCCCTGATAATCTCAAGAAAATGTGAAAGTTTATTTCCTGAAGCCTTTTGCCTCTACCTGCTCACCTTTGCTGGTTGGGAGACCCCTCTTTGTCCTAGGATGATTCTAGAATATTCTCTCTGTGCATGTCTCTCTCTGTGTGTGTCTGTCACTCTCTCATACACACAGATGTACACATGCATGCACAAACACACACACACACACACACACACACACACACAGAGAGAGAGAGAGAGAGAGAGAGAGAGAGAGAGAGAGAGAGAGAGAGAGAAAGAGAAAGAGAGAAAATCATCCTGGGCTTCTCTATTACCCAAGGTCCATGATTACTCTCTGTTCCTTCATTTCAGCATGAGAAGGTGAGGTTCGTGATGCCCTGATACTCGTCCTTGATTGCTATCCTTGTTATTCTCTATGATCAATGTACAAAAGCTTTTGATGTGATATTTATACCATGGCAATGTTGACACCAAAGTTTGATTTGACTGTAACTCATCAAAAAAGTACAAAAATACTTAGGGAAAAAAAGTCGCTAATATTTTTCCATGTTGTTACTACTTAACAGTAAATGAGACAAATACCCATATCATATTCTACAGTGTCACTTCTCTCCTAATCCATGTGGCTACAAAGTGACATAAAGAAGTTATAGTTTAAAAAGACCCATGTTAAATACTCTTAAATCAAAATGACAATGGTCTACATGACAGGTTAGTATATCAGCTCATGAGTCTCATAAACCTAGTTAGGATCAGTGCTTAAAGTATTTTGGCAAAATTGTAAAAGTTCAAAATTTTCCAAGAGGAAAAAGTATAAGCCTTTGTTAAAACAATGGATCTGCTTCAGTCTAATTCCTGATACCAACTGTTAGCTACCAGCTCCAGTCTATAAAAGCTGATAAATTTTCCTTTAAAATGTTGGTATAAAGCCTCCCAGTGTGATTCAGTGGTTCATTATCTTAGTGTCACCTTAAGTGACTTCTCCTTTCAAACACAGCCAGGTGTGACTCAATATTCTGGAATAGTAGGACACACAGACAAAAACACCAAGGCCAGCCCTGTTCTTTTGCCTAAAGATAAAAGTGTTTCCTTGGCTGAGTGTGCAGAGTAGATCTCAACAGAGAAAGACTGTTACTCAGGCCATGGTATTCAAGGTCTTCTTTCAGTTGTAACTGTTATTGTTTTTATAAATAGATTAGTGTGCTAGAATTTTTCAAGTACAACAACAACAAAAAAAAACCCAGACAGTTAAACCCAAGCAAGCTAAATGAGGGCTTGCACAGCCACAGCCCTACATGACAATGGTCAGCAAAGGACTGTGTACAAATGGTAGTCCCATAGATTATACTGCCTGGTGTCACTGATGCCATACTATCTTAGTTTATGTAAGTGTACACTTGGTAGCCACACAGTTAAATACAGTTCTTATGTTGTGTCCTCATTATATGACCACGTCAACATTTAAGTTCCCTGCACACAGAGACATAAAATGATCCACAGAGATTTTTCTTGGAGAAGTTGCTGGCATGGAAGGGCCAATTGTTTCTAAGAGAAGAGGGTAGTCAGAGAGAACTGTAAGGTTGCCTTGCAATCTGGGTGAAAACTGCAATGAACCTATACCATGTCTGAGAAACTGTGGGGGATAAAATGGCAGATAAGGAGGTATGGGCAGCACAAGCTATTAGAGAGCAGGGAAGAGACTGCACTTTTACAGCAAGGTAGGCTGAGGACAACTGAGGGCTCTCCTGATAAGGCCAGAGAAGAGTCTGAAGAGTGGCCTATCAGATGCATCCATTAGACAAGCCCGGGAGAAGCTTGTTACATTAGAGAAGAGAAGCCACCTGGGATCACCACCGCCTCTATCCCAAGGGGGAAATTGTTAGAAAAAGAGAAAATCAGAAATACCAGCAGAAAAATGGAGCATGGGCCATCACTGAATGATAGGTAAAACCCACCTTGATCTAGTGTTGTGCTTATGAGGTCCAATGTACACTTTCTCTGCTAAGCTAGCTTGAGTTGAGATTTCTGGTATATGTAACTAAAAGCACTTCATTTTTAAAATTACTTTCCCCAGATTATCTGCGAGAATGCCAATGGTCTAGACTTGTACTAGACTACAACAGTACAAAATCAGGAAAATGCAAAATAATTAGAGTAACAACTTCACTGGGCTCTTTATGGATTGAGCCAATCAGAGGATAGTATGTGGACTCTGAATTGCACATGCAGTGAAAGAGGGAATTGGACTGTCTGAAAAAAAAAAAAAAAAAAAAAAAAACAAGTAGGAGCAATTATGAGTTACCTGGCAATGAACTCTCTGTGACTCAGAAGAAACTGACTGCAAATCCTAATGGAAGAAAAATCCATACCTTACAGTTAGCTGGACACATTCCTACTGACTGAACTCCCAATTTAACGTCACCACACTGATCTGAAAAGTTTCTTGAAAAGTTTCTTCACTCCTCAAGGTTGGCAAATGAAGTTCATGCCAGAAACAATAACAGCATACTAACTGGGATTGAGAGAAAAACGGATCATTTGTGTCTTCCAACTTAGGAAGTTCATAGATTAGTGATGGCCATCTGATGATTTTGTTATTATAAATGGGAGTCCAGTTTCATTTGTATGGAAACTCCCCCGCTTATGGAGAAATCTTCTTGGGCAACCTCAAATGCCTAGAATCCATCTTGCACTAAATGTACAATACCATAGACTTGCAAGATGCTTGGCAAACAGTCAAGAAAAAGTAACCACTCCATGTGGTCATGGAGTGCAAGTTGACAGGCGTGATAGGACTTGGGCTTTTGCTAGCAGATTCTGAAGCCAGACTCCCCTTTATAAGCCTGGCAACTAAGTTGTCACCACTGACACAAGTCTCAGGCTTCGTTGCTAATGAGTATGCTAATGCTCTGTACAGATGTCAGCAGTCCTGGGGACCTCTGTCCTCACACCTGCTTCCCAAAGGGCTTGTCATCCGGCTCTGCATCCAAGTCACCTTTAAAACTTCTCTTTATTTATCACTTTTCTTTTCTTCTCCTAAATCTATATTTGTTGAATATTTGTGTGATAAGCATGCCAATACTTGGTTAAGTTGATTTTCACCAAAGCCAACTAATTAGTCATACATTTTGCCACTGTGAAGTAATATTGTCACTTGAATGTTAATTTTTAAAATAATTTTTAAATAAATATAGTATCAGTTGTGAGTCACTTCTTTAAAAGATTTTAGTGTGTGTGTGTGTGTGTGTGTGTGTGTGTGTGCTCATAGAAACTAGAGGATACCCGATCTCTTGGATTGAAGTCATAGGTGTTTGGAAGCCATACAGCATGGATGCTGGGATCTGAACACAGTCCTCTGGAAGAGCAGCCAATTCTCTTAACTACTGAGCCAACTCCCCAGTCTATAACTTCCCCCTGCCGCTTTTTTTTTTTTTAACAAAGGTTTAATGTATAACACTTCACAGTAAAATATAGTATTATTTTGAAAACTGAGATACTATGGGTTCTTTAAATTTAGATTAGGATCCAATTTGCATGCTAGATGTTCACAGATGTTTTGTTCTTTAAGTTGTTTCCCACACTGAAAATAGCTAAACAAAGCCACAACTATAAAATCTATTGGCTTTCTCATTCACACTGGTATTCAAACTTTGTCATCTTTTCCCTAAATATCTTTTGGTTCACAATTATATCTATACCCTTAAGAATTATAAGGATGAAATCAATTTTTAGAACCACTAGTATGTGCTTCCTACCCAAATTCATTTCTAGTGACATATAATATAATATTCAAAGATAAGTGGCCACAAGTTAACAGGATTTAAAAACTATACATCAGCGTTGTTTACAATTCATTTAAGCTCATTTGGTCATTATGTATTGAACAGAACAGAGTTATTCCTCTAGGAGAACCCTTCAAAACAACCATTGGTTTTAAAACACAAATATTTCAATCAGCACCATTTGAGAAAAGATACTCCAATGGGAATTGAAGTCCTCCATCTGGGAGTGACGAAGGAGAGAGTAGAGAGAGATGTGTATGCTTCCACCACTCCTGAAATGGATACAGTTGCCCCCCCCATACCCCCACACACACAATTTTGTCAAAACAACCAACAGGAATTGTAATGATGAGTTTGGGTCTCTTGACATCGCTGGCTCAGATCAAACCCATGAGAAGGTCCTACACAAAATTTCTTCCGTCCTATTTCTCAGTGCCAAGACCAGATTAAGGGTTAATTTACAGGTCAACAAATTATCCTTTTGGTTCTGATAATATTTCCATGAGTAAGAAGCTTCTGATTCCTATGGAAGGAGTTTCATTTTAAAAAGCAAAATCTAGCTGTCTCTGAGAGAAGTCTTTTTTAGACACAAAACATCAAATAGCCTCATATCTCTAGGTTCTCTCATTATTTATTAGCTCTTTTGAAATTCTGAATAGCTAAAAATATAGAGCTATGCAGCCTGGCAAGAAGGCAGAATTTCTAAGCTACAGCATAGCCATGGAATACACGAGGGTATCAGCACCTGTAGTTAACCCAATAGTCCTCTCCCACATCAACCAGCAGAGGGGACCAACAGTAGAGTTGAGAGAGTGTATGTTTAAAGAACAAGGGCCATAATGCATTCCCTCATCTCATGCATCTTTTTAGAAATACATACACATACAAATATGCATATGTGTAGATAGCTGGTAATTTCTTATTTAAGGAAAAATCTAAAGAGAATAAATGATAAGATAATCAACTCACCTCCTGTAGGCGGTCTATGTACATACGGCAGGTCTCCAAATCACAGTCTCCACGAACAACTAGAATACCCAGAGGGATGGCTGAGGGAGAAGGGAAAAAGAAAATCTAAAATAACGTATCTTGTCTTTAGACTGACTTAAATGTGTTTCCCCTGGGTAACAAGGAATCTTACAGGCATTATGGGAATCTGGGTACAACCATGACCAGAAGTAAGTACACACACTATAAGGCTGCTTGGTGGCCTTAGGGAACTTCGTCGTCCCAGCAGGTGTCATATATTTACCTTGTTTGACTCATGTAGTCCCCGCCACCTGGCTTTTACCTTCTTGGCCCTGATATGAAATGTAATACCTAATACCACAGTAACAATAGGATGGCAGAATTCAAGAGATAAAAAGAAACTTGTGGAAAATTAACACCTTCCTTTTGCATTATTGATAACCAGCTGCCAAACTTCATGCCAATATTTCCTTCTCTTTAGTTAAGAACAACAGAAAGAATGTTTCTGGCTCAGGCTTTTGTGTCCCCTGCAGCTGATTTGATTCATTTTCTGATCATCTTGGAGACTCCACCTTCAATAAGTACCAGTGAATACTGATTCCACATAATAGGATATTCGTTAGAATGCACAGTTTCTAAGTAAAAAAAATAAATAAATAAAAGCTGCATTCTTGAATAAAATGACAGATTTAACGCACTTCTCTTTCACCAAAAATGTTACTGAGTTATAGTAAAAATTTACTTTTTAAGATTAAAAAGGATGCAGTGTTATCAAGGAGACTAGAGAAACAAGAAGTGGACCAATGATTAGTGACCAAGCCAGCGTCCATCAGAGTCTACCCCTAAAGGTGTACAATAGATACAAAACATTGGAAATGCGGTAATACGCAAGGAGGGACTCCTGTGGTATAGCCTGCATCACCACTCACAGCAGACAGAATGCACCTGGAAGTAAATTTAGACAGGAATTCAAGCTGAACACAATCAGGAATTGACGATTTCTCATAAGTAGTCGGATCTAATCCAATCAACCATGATTTTTAGATTCTAAATAAAGTGTTGATAGGTTACTGCAACTTAATTATTGGAAAATTTCCTGATGAAAACATTTTTTATTTTTGTATATTTCCATATATTTAACTGTATCCTCTGAGTTTAATTCTTATTTTTGTCTTGTTGTCTTTTATCTTTCATTAGTTTTTAAATTAAATCTCCTAATAAATTTTTGGAAAAATATCAAAGAGAACCAAAAGCACAGTAGAAAACAGACAAAGAACTTCAATTTTTGATAGAAACCCTATCAGAGAGATAAACAGTATATACGAACAACAACACTTCTACTGCCTTGTGGGCATTTGAAATTTTTCATACTTGCCTTTGGCTTTATCTGAAGTTATTTGAAATTAAAGAAATACATGTGAATGCTTTGGGCCCCTAAATTTCAGCATATTATAAAAAAGATTCTCTCTGTATCAAGAGACCCCAAAGGAAAAAAGCCACAACTATAAAAAAGCCCAAAGGGTTACATCCTAATGAAATCCCAGTGTGAACATCAACAAATCTAAAACTCTCTCAACTTCAAGAAGTTAGAATTCTCTCCGGAAAGAGAAAGGGGAGGGGATGGGATGAGAGGAGAGAGGAAGGTGGAGGAAAGGAAAGGAGAGGAGGGAAAGGGAAGGGAGGGGAGGGGATAGAATGGGAGGGGAGGAGGGAGAAGGGGAGGGGAAGGGAAGAGAAAGGAAAGGAGAGGAGAGGAAGGGAGGGAGGGAAGGGAGAGGAAAGGGAGGGAGGGAGGGAGGGAAAGGAAGGAAGGATCCTCCATGGGCTTGCTCTGAGTACCACCAGGAATGTGAGAAACTGAGGGGAATGGGGCCACTGAAGTTGGAGCGCTGCTTGTTAGCTAACTGGATCCCTCTTACCTCCTCATGCTAGGCACAGTTGATATCTAGAAAATGGGGAATAACTGGCAATTTGCAGAGTACAGTGACCTGGAACTTCATTCCCTCACGGGGCTTGCCAAAATCTAGCATCAAGGAATCCACAGTCTTAGCATGAAATCTGACAAACCCATGGGGCAATCTGTTAACATGGTGGCAGGCCCACCCCCACCATTGGTTAAGGTCCAAGGCCAGAATGTTACACTTGAATTTCATGTACCTCCACAGGCATAGTTCCAAAATTGTGAGAGTAATATACGCTTTCCTACTTTTCAAACAAAACTTTGCTGGTACCCGAAGGAGGTGTCAGAATCAGAATTCTTGTAATGGCTGGAGTACTGGGAAAAAGCAGTGTCTGTGACCCCCCTTCTCTTTCCACCATATACTCCAAGAACACGAAGGCCCTGAACATGTGGATAAACCAGAACAGACCTTAAAATTCTCCAAAGCCCAAGCAAAAGTTCCCTGTACCAAGGCTTGGCTGCATCCACACTATGTACTGTCCCTTCGAGACCTGTACACATCCAAAGAACATTAGTGCTACCAAAATCATGAGACCCTAAAGCAAAGTCATAAAAAAAAAAAAATAACAAGCGAAGCCTTTCTCTCAGTATTGAATAATCCAGGAAGCAGGGCTTAGCTGGAAAGAGCCATGGCAGGACATGCTAAAGCTGGGGCTCTCCTCATAAGAACCTAATGGGAACACTCACTGACTTGGAATTCTCAAGGATCAGCTTGCCTACATCACATAAAGAAGTTTGAAGTCAAAAACCTTTACTAAGACTTTCAGCACTCCCGGTCATCTGTATATCTCTTGCTTACAGTTTTTTTTTAAAGATATATTTATTTTTACTATTTATAGGGTTGTGAGTCTTTGTATGAGTATGTACACATGAATGTGAGTGTTTGCAGAGGCAAACAGAGGTCACTGGATGCCCTGGAGGTGAAGTTGCAGGCTAAACCAAGTATGTACTGGAAACCAAACCCAGGTCCTCTGTAAAAGCAGTGAGTGCTGTTAGCCATGGAGCCGTCTCTCCAGCCTTGTCTCTCAGGTTTAACAATGAGCAGAAATGTAGAAAATGATCAGAAAACTGGGACATCCATCTAACATAGACGCTGGAGAGTAAAATAAAAGACAAAATAAAATGCAATGTATAAGAAAGAGAAGCTCTGAAAATACTTTCATTAATATAATTGTAAAGTTTTGAGAAAATGGATCCATCTGTGAAATCCAAGAATGATTTGATGATGTCGGAAGAAGATGAACAGGTAGAGGGGACAGGGCCTCACACAGAAGACAACCAGGCATACCAAATACTTTGAAAATTAAAATCTGATGGGATAAATACAGATCTCAGTCAAAAGGCCAAGAGATAAAGTTGAGACAAAAGTGAGGTGAAAAAAAAAAAGAAAGATGGAATATACAACAGGAAAGTAGAATACTAGGAAGTCCAATACCCAAAGTGTAAATGAACTTGAAAAAAATAAGGGAATTGTCAGAAAACAAAACATTGGTTTCCAAACTGAAAAGCTCTACCAAGCATCCAGCACATCGATAAGATGAATACACTCCACTGTGGAATGTAAGAGTATTGAGGGTACCTGTTTATACCTACAGACAAATCCTATGCTCTGCCATGATCATAGAAGCTTCTGTTTGGCTTATATATAGAGAAAGCAGAGAACCATGGCTAGCCAAGGGCCCTACACATAATGGCTGAGAGCTCAGCCCTAAACAGAACAATTATAACATCCCCTCTGGGGCTTAGGGAACACCACCAAAGAGGGAGCAGAAAGAGGGAAAGACTTGTCAAACGTGGTCTCCAGAGCCTGACCTAGAGACTGCAATCTTACAACAATCTTACAGACCCTGAGGCTGCCTATACTGAGCCTTCACAAACTGAGTCTGTCAAAAGCAATCACAGACTAGCGAGGAGGAACTTAAGTAGCCCTATCCCTCCCTGCTGAACTATTAGCTACTTCCAGATTCCGGGGGAGGGACAGCCATCATCAGTTCTGTACCCACAGGATCTCATGGAGAGTTCCACATGCACTGGAGATGGACTCTGAGATTAAAAGACTTGGGATACCTCCAGTTGACTTTCTCTCTCTCTACTGTGCTGTGATTAAGGATGTGAGCTCTCTGCTCCATGCTCCTGCTCTCCTGCTATGCCTGTTGTTTGTGTTATGCTTCTCCACCACAGTGGGGGTTTTTGCTGCTGTTTGTTTGTTTGTTTTGTTTTTCAAGACAGTTTCTCTTTGCAATAGTCTTAGCTATTCTAGAACTAGTGCTGTAGACCAGGCTGGCCTCGAACTCACAGAGATCCGCCTCCCTCTGCCGTGCAAGGTGAGCACCAGAACCTCCTGGCTACCTTAAAATTCAACTCTAAAGTTAAAAGCATCTAGCATTTTAACCAAATGGTTAAACCATCAAATTTAACCATTTTAACCATCAAATTTAACCAAAAGGTTCTAGACCCCTGAAAGCCCCACTACTAACAGGAACTATGGTAATAAAAAAATTTGACATTTAATTTTTTCATTGTATAACATTTACATTATGAAACCAATGGTACAAAAACAGTGATAAAGAGTAAAGTCTACATTAAAAAGCAGAGGTTTGTAGTCTCATAATGTGCTAATTATCATAATTGTATATAAAATTAAAACATAGCAGAGCTTTCTGTTACAAAATTCTCAATCATCTGAGTTGCATTCATTACCTGCTACCAATTTATGGGCAGCATTTGTTAGGACTGATACCCAACACGAAGTTTACCTCTCTGGAACTGTAAACTAAAAACAAACTCTCTCCCTTCAGTCTCCTTGGTTGTGGTATTTTATCACAGCGACAGGGATGTAACTGTCTTATTTTGATTTCTCTTATTGTGAGAAATGCCAAGACTAAAATCAAGTTGAGGAAAGGGTTTGTTTCACCTAGAAGATTACAGTCCATCATCCAGGGAAGTCAGAACAGGTGCTCAAGGCAGGAACCTGGAGGCAGGAACTGAAACAGAACCCAGGGAGAAAGGCTTCTTCCTGGCTTGGTCACCATGTCTTACTCAGAGTACTTTCTTTCTTTTTCTCAGATTTTTTTTTTAAATTTAAATTAGAAACAAGATTCTTTTACATGTCAATCCCAG